ATAGGGATCAGAGAAATCATGTTTTCACATAAGAATAGTAACCGAAATTCTCATAACACTTGTGAATAAAGTACGGCAAATCGTTCTCCCACATACAGTTTCTACCAACACACAGTAACACTTACACGCACAGCGAACAAATAAAAGAACAACAACGCAAAACAAAAAATGTGTTATTAATATCAGAAAGTAAATGAGTTGTCTGCGTTAAAAACCGGTTGGGGCGCCTAAAAGCCGGCAACACTAAAAAGTTTATTGGCATAAAAAAAAAAATTAGCAGAAAAATCACAAACACCGTTAAGCGAGGTAAATGCCAAGGAACAGAGGGTTTAAAATGCGGAAACGAAGTGGTAAACAATCAATTTAAAAAGCAACAACAAGCCATTTTACAGCAACTTAACTATAAGCGAGCAATTGCAACATCAATAACACAATCAACAACAACCAGAACTGAACTTATGCAGAAATTCAAGCTAAACGCATTCATTCTACTATAAGTATTTGTAGGTGTCAGTACAGAAGCCAAACATTTTGTTTTCAACAGTCAAGCTCACAAACTTTTAAAGGCTTCAATAATATTCGCGCCAATAAAACGGTTTACAAATAACAAGCTAAATAAAGCAACTTATGAACAGTGTGTTACTGTGCGCTGAGTCGAGTATTAAACTTAAATTAAGTGAGAGTTCTGAATTTTTAGATAACAACAAAGTGGCATTTTCACAACTTTTTTACTAACTTTTTACATCATAAATACCCTCGAATACTTGAATTTGGTTCAATGCACCACATCAAATTTTGCGTAAAATAAAGAGTGAATACAAATAACAGCCATTTGTTTTTCCACTGAACTGAATGTCCAATAGCTATAAAAAAGTTGAATGAAAACCAAATATATCCCTCTATCAAGAAAGGAGAAGGGTTATTTGTCCATTTCATCCCTTCTGTTTTTAACGCCTCCAGGTAATGGCTGTGAGGTTACAGAATACCCGAAGGCTTAGTGTCCTAAGTCCTAAGCTAATCAGTGGTATAGCCGAAGCAAGCTTTTGCCCCAAAAACAAATTTCATTATCAACCGGTCCGGTTTTTGTGCTTGTATACTTTGAGTATACTCTCGCATAAGGCCTTAAATCCTCTCATACCTTCACCTCTGAGTTATTGAGAATGAGGATTCGGCAGTTTCAGTATAAAATTCCTTATATTCCGCGGTCTTGCTGCGCATCGTCTCTAAATGTTGTGCTTGCAGGCAATTACCGGAAAAGTAAAATCTCAACAAATACTTATATATGTAGACATATCTGAGTAAGTGGTTCCTAGAGCGGTGACAGATTCAGCAATAACCAGGCTTTTGTGGCATTTGCGTATTGAAACTAAGTCAAGTAGGTAATGCGAAGCTTAGTTATTTTTAGCAATGCGAACTTTCCCAAGTTTGTGCAAATAATGATTTAGAAGGTGTGAATAGCAGAGATTCGGTGTGTGAATGTGGTTTGGCGCCATCAATTCCGGGAGAGAAACTCACCCAATGGCATTGCTGAATTTCGCATAATAAAGAGGAAAGCTGGGTAAAGCAAAGGAAGCAATTAAATCGGAGTTTGTCATTGGCGAACGAAAGCTGCCAATTTCGATTTTCGATTTCAAATAAAATGATGCCGGAAACAGACTAGCGTGAACAACACAACACACACAGCACACTTTTAGAGGTAAACACATTAGTTGCTAGCGAAGTGTGAATTAAATTTTAAGAGATATTTTCTTTCCCGCGACGAGAAACGGGTAACATAGGTATTGTCTAATTTATACTACAATATATAAAAATTTAATTTTAGTTTGAGACACGCCAATGTGTTTGTATATTATTTTTAGTTCTTGGAAATATAGTGAACCCATTTCTAGTTTGCTTGCGGAACACTATACATTTTCTATACATCTTCTTAAATAGATTTAATAAATGTTCAATAAACCCAACCAATCACTTTGGCATCGCCCATAAAATATGTGTGTATGCATGTGTTTTATCGGCAGTAAGCATCCCACGCGACCATAAATATTTTTGCTGGCATCGCAATTGTATCAATAATTCCTACGTTTTAGTACCAACAAGATAAAGACCCTTTTTCGCACACCCTCTCACAGTGGGAGAAAACAAATTTCCAAAATGCTTAGATGTTATGATACTTAACTACACTTTGTCCATAATGCTTTTACACTCTTTCAATATTCAGCATTGTTTAAAATATATATTAAACTTTAAATATATATATATATATACATTTTCTATATATATATATATTTATGGATATTCAAAGTCAAAGCTAATAATAAAACCAACAATGTTAAACTAAACAAAAACCAAATTGAAAAAGAACATTTCATGAGCCAAAAGTATATTCTCAATGGTTGTACATGTACCTAGGTAAATAACATACCTTGAGATTATGTATTTTTTAACCTGAAACTCCGATTTCTATAACTGGACTCGTCAATTCCGAATACATGCTCAGCCACTTCAGTTTAAGAATCTTCAAACTCCTAATTGTATATAAACTTAAAAAAAAACTTCCTATCTGAATTCAACGAGGGCCACCTCTGTTTTTATACATATTTATTGTCACAAACATACACACCGAATTGTCGTGACAAATTGATTTCTGCTGTCAAGAACAGATGCTGAGTTACCTCCATCTCATTCATCGGCGTTCCGTGAACAATTAAAAGGCAAATTTCAATAACATTCAATTTTGGTTTTAATTACACGCATAACATACACACATAATACTACTATTAGATAGTGTGTGTGTATTCTTGTGGGCTCACCAAACAGTAACACGTTCAACCCTTTCCCCAGACACATTTATATAGGTATCCATATACATATATTGGTGTGTAAAGAATTTCGAAACTCTCAAGTGAGCTGCGAATATTAAGTTTTACCCTCCACAGATGTCCAACACTTAAAATGAGTTTATAGCTTCTTTGCTCATACTTATATACTACGTTTAGTTACTCGTGTGTTCGTCTTATGTTGAAATATTAAAAGCATATCTACTGCAGTCTCGCGTATGTTCATGATTTTATGGCAGATATTAAAATTTGCTAAATTATGGACCCTTATGCGGTTAAACAGACAGATACGAGTAATTAAGCTAGAGTGTGGCCAAAGGCGACGTAGCGCTCTCTCGTGGCAACAACTAATGAAATGGCCTTTGCGTCACAGAAAATCTAAAGAGTGTACATATTTGAAGGAGTTCGCTCTTGTAAATTTCATTTAAAATATATTACATTTGAAGCTCTTTAAATTTATTGAAACATAAAAATATTACACTAACAAAATTGCACAGCTATCTTTCTAGTTTTAGATAAAATATATTACTCGTAAACCAAACAAAGAGTAATTTTAGTGAAATAATAGATGTTAAAAACTCTACATTCTTTCTGGAAGCTTCAATTAAGACCAACATTGCTGCTGAGTCGCCTTTGTTGCTATAGTTGTAAAAATCCGCGTTGATTCATTTCAATTGAAACGAGAGTTTAAACTGCCGTGTTATGTGCGCGTTTTGCTTTTAATAATTTTTTGATTGTTTATTTCTATTTGTGTGTTGTTGACAGGGTTTTAAAGCCTTAGCTGCTTTAAATGCTCCCAATTTAAAATAAATACTTACTTTCGTTTTTTAAATAAATTTTGTTCATAAATTATTAGTTCTATTTTGAGAATTCAGTTGGAGAGCATATATGGTAAAATATTACTTACAGTACTACCAGTATTATGATCAGTTATTTTCTGTAGTATTGTATTCGTAAATGTTATGTCATATGTGCGATATTCCGCCGTTACATGCGCTACTGCACTTCCGCATTTGTCAACACGAAGAACGGGAGGCTGAACTAAGAGTAAGATACATATAAGAGTTGTTATTGTTTCGCTGAGTAGTTAGCAATGTTGCTGCTACAAACTCACCAATTCCCCTTCACACCTCATGACTGTTCTATGCAATTCCACCTAATTCACAAACATATATGATACATCTCCATTATCTAGGGGGAGTGAACTTCTTAAGCCGCTTAAGCACTTGTGCTTTCAAGGGTTGCCTCTTGTCTTGTACCATTCAACATAACGCTTTTGCTTCTTTTGAGTTGTTGTCTTCGGAAAAACTTTGTGGCTTTGTTGTGGCTTGTTTGTAGAAGATTTAACACTGCTTGTAAAGAAACATATATGTATTAGAAAAAGTTCATGCATATCTATTTTCAGCTTTAAAACAGCACTTAGATTTTTATCATCAATCAATTTTTACGATCAATAATTTTCCTGAACTCCGCTTTGACTCTGGTGTACTTTTTAATCTTATTTTAATCTTCAATTATTTCCAAGCCTCCTGATTTTAAGTTTCGTTATATGTATGTGCCCATAAGTAGAACAGCTCTATTAAATATGCTTCTTTGAATAACAAAAACACAATAAAATTTCAAAATAACAAAAATTTTAACATTATTCCGAGGTGGGTGAAAGAAGTATTTCTCTTTTTGTTCCTTAAAAGAAATATATTCACTTTCAGTTTTATTGCGCTCACCACAAAAGCCTACACTAATCGCTTTGTCATATGCAAATGTTACAAATTTAGCGGCAAAAAGTTGGGTGTAAATCGTGCTAAGCTCAACCAAGAGTCAACACCGCAAGCGTAAGTACTTATACTAGTACATATTGCGTTGCCCACGGCGTATGAGTAACATACCCCGACAAATATGCGAAACTTTGGCTGAGATAATATTGAAATTCGTATTTGAACTAAAACTAGTGAAGAAACAATATTTGCATTGAAGAAAACTTTGCATGTAACTATTGGGACACTAAAGCTAGCTCACATATAAATGAATAACTAATTTTGAAAAAAAATAGAATTTCCATTGGAAATCCAAAAAAGTGAAATATATTAGACAAAAACTAAATCGTTTATTCTAATGTAGACTGTTTACTGAACCACCTCCTCAACTATTTATTATCTTTTCTAGCATTTGCGGGAGTCTGCGGATGTCACCTGGTAAAGATCACAGGTCGTTGAACCGTTTTGACACACCAGCTACACAGGCAAACAGTAAGACATACGAACATCATGAAAACTCTCCACACCGCATTGCAACAAATAACAAAATTCTAGCAATTGTTGGCCAACTATCTCTTCCATTCTTCCGCACTGACAAAAACGTCGCAATCTGCGCGTCTGGCTGAGCTGACCTGTTAGGCTGCAAGCTGTCGCCGTCACGTGTAAAGACCCTGACACTACTACCACACGTTTTTCCGCCACTGTTGTTGCTGTTGCAGGCATAAGAGCTTTGCCATCCTTTAGAAATGTGAAGACAAATGTTATATTCTTACTTTGCGTCGTTTTGATTTTCGGGTTTGTTTATAGTTTTTAGTGTTTCCCGGCGGTTGTTGGTTTACTAACAACAAAGTCTAACACTACCACTGACAGCTGACTAATTGCCAACTTTGTCACTCAACCGTTCGCGCCCCTTTCCTAACGAGACTGACGAGAAAAACAGCATTAATAACAACAACAATATTAGCAAAAATAACACCTCTGTCCACCTTCAATCAACCAGTGGTCATAAGTAAACGTAAAAATAAAAGTAAAAGTAAATTTGTGTTTACATATCAAATGAGCGAAGTTACTCATTGTCCCTAACGGACATCATCTAAACTAGTCCATTTATAAAAATAAATACATAAACTATTTGATGTTCAGATAATTTTTTACCACATATCCCGCTTGTTTGCTACCAGCAATCATTCAATGAGTATTATAAACTCAGATTCATGTGCATTTGAGATTTCCTTATACACAAATAAACCATCGCCACAACTTGACCCAGCTAACTGTACTCACTCACAACATATTTCCCAAGCGTATTGATGGCTCCTGCACAATCGCAAATGCAATTTTTCTTTGAAATGAAAGCTAAATTTGCGTTAATATTTTCCGCTGTAATGTCCACCAATCCTTCTTCAGTGAATACATTAGTTGTAAAGACAAAAATCTAACTTTAAAATACTTAAAGAATAATGTATGCAAATCTCCTGCATGGTTCTACTAATACACATACGAAATAGGGGCACATTATCTTCACCCGACAAGATTTAAAATCAAACTGCCTATTGTTTTCTTGTATAGCATACATTTAGGAGCAGGCTAAATACACGCACTGTCATTGATATTAGGTAATTACGGTATAGAAATAGAAATGAGTGCAACTTTCCTTAATTGTACTTGGTTTTCTGGGTAAACCGGTGAAGCCCACATGCTCTTCGCCTCGCCTAACCTCTCCACCATTCCCATCGCCATTCGTGCAGTTTCACAACATTCAGATGCTTAAATGTGCCGCCATAAAGTCACCGGCTGGCCTGAATAGCAAGTTAATTAAAACAACAATAACAATAGCCAAACAGCAAAAACAAATAAAAACTGCTGGAATCGCTTAAGGCAGACAAGAACATGCGCAATGGATCTTATGGAGTAGCCTCTGCTCAGTTAGCTCTGTGGTCGTCTAAAATTTTAGTTAAAGCGTCATCCCGTTTCTTCGGGCACTTGCCTCAATTTGAAGCTTTGTTTTCTGTGTTTTTTCTGTTTTTCCATAGCAATGTCATCTTTGTGTTTTTCGAAGAATTCTGAATGTAATAAATACACATACACATATAAGTCATTATGGTGCTTATACACAACTCTAGTTTTACACAAACCATAAATTTCTTAAGAAAAATATTAATTTTTGGATAAAAATACTTTAAAAATTTTTAACACCGATATTAAATAGTTAGCGATAATTTATCACAATTTTCTTATGACAAAAACAATAACATGCGTTCACATACTTGTGTACTACAATAATATAATGGACTTGGCTCGGTGCTTCTGAAGTTCAACGAACTCTTGTCGTTGTATAAACAAAAATTAAGTGTTCAGCGTCATTGTTGCTTGCAAGGCTCAGCTCATCTGCATGAATACAAAGTTACATATATATAAATATATTTGGTTCAACTGTCTGCTTATTCCTTGTGGACATTGGTCGACTGCTGGCTGTCATTTTGACTTGGACTTTCATTAATATTGCCAATAACGGTCAATTTAACAATTGGTCTACCCTCCGCTTGGGTTCACTCCCGAAATTGCCCATCTCTGCAGTTAAGTGGGGCATTTGTTGGAAATTTAATTTCATTCCATTTCGTAATAACTTTGATAGCCGTTGCACAGTGAAAATTCGATTTGTCCGAACGGCCGTCAATTAAAAGGTCAATGAAAAACTGCAGATTGATGGCGCTGCCGTTGCAACACCGGCGAAAGGGAAGCAGAATGGGAATGGACGAAAGAGGTAAAATATTTGCAAGCCTTCAGCGGTGGAATTGGTGCCCGAGAGAACAGATAAATTTGAAAAGCCAAAATATATATGCCGATGAAGAGGTAGGCGCCTACATAAAAGTGATAACTGGATTTAAAACTGTTGTCTGGCTCAATGTGAAATAAAACAAAAACGTTCTCTTACATTTACTCTTGGCGACAGGACAAAGTTGTCACGTGCGTGTAATTGTCGACGGCGCTATAACAGCAACAACAATTTTGATTCGTAAAATAACACAGTCAACATGCGGTAAAATATTAATTGCCGACACGTTGCCAATTTTTTTTTTCATTTTACAGGATTTTTAATTTCTTAATTTACTATCATAATCGGAGCGGTAGCACCGCAAATTACTCGCAAGACGCAATAATCATATTTGCAAACACAAAATACATAGTCTGACTCAAAACACAGTTACAGATAACTGCGAATAGCGCTTAAAAAGTGCTTAATAACATCTGCCAGATTTTATACCAACTCCGTCTCACACCTTCGTAAAAACTCGTTAACAAAAATTATTAGGTGCTGCTAAAGGAGAATCCTTTGGTTAGATTTGCAAATTCGTGCTTTCTTCATTCCTTTCTCACACGATTACTACTATAAAGAGATGGGAAGCGTCTTATATCTAAAATTACTTCACAAGCAAAGCGAAAGATCCCGAAAGTTATTGAAGAAATGAATCACAAATTAAAACAAACAAAAAACCACACTAAATACAAAATTGCATATAAAAATATTATTAAAAGTACTATAAATGCCCTTAAACAATACAAAAGGGTAGAAACAACAAAATTCCAGTTTTGCAATAACAGAAAAAAAGATGACACAAGAGCAATAACAACGAGCAATGCAACATGAGGACAAAGGCAATACAGCTCCACTGCCCGAAAAATGAACGTAACGGCGAAACAGGAAGCAGACACAAATATGAAGTGGAGCAGACCGCCAGGAAGGATTATACAAACCAAACTTGCAAAAAAGAAACACTCAGCCGCACATAGAGTAAGCTTTTTATCCTTTTCTGTTAGTTGGCAAGGAAAATATCACAGAAATAAGGTACATCCTTTGTATTTTCCCGAACAAAAAGCAAACCCACTTGAGCTGCACAGAAGGCATGAAATACCCACGCTGATGACGTTTGGCGACAATTCGGCTGTGGAAATTTAGGTCAACGCAATATATTGTATAATTTTGGAAGTCAGGACATACACCTAAGCTGACATGCACTTTTGTAAACATTTGTGTAACTGTAAAAAACAGCATGCAAAGCATTTTGTAAAAATGCGATTTCAAACGAAGTTGCACAACAATATTGACCAGGAAGGATACCTTGTTTTGTGTAAACGCACTTGATATCTCATAAATTGAAGAGATCAGAGAACTACCAGAGGACTTTCCCAAACTTTATCTGTGGATACAAGAAATTACAATTGTTTGAATTTCGCTCAAAACGGTTAATATTTGTTCACAGCTTAGACTTCTCACAATATTAGTTCTATGGAGTTTCTATTACGAAGATATTAAATTAATTGTGTTGCACACCCACAAATCTACAAATGCGGACAATATACTAGAGCATAACTGCTTAACAATTAATAAAGTGTAGCCAAGGGAACTCTATTTTACTTACCATAATATTCACTGCAGTCAAGAATTTTATATAATTATTCTCCATTTTTTATCTCCTAATTGTTGTTAAACGCCGGAGAAGCGAACATTCGTTCATACAATTTTCAGCGCCTTTGATGCCAACCACTTTTTATGCGATACCTTGAGCTACATGGCAACATAATGCATTTCGCTGGCTTCGCGCAAGTTTCGAATAAATTAAATTTCTTCAGAGTTCAAATACCGACAGAGGCGAGATGCCAGCCAATGCCAAGGTGTTGAGCAATCCCAAGCAACCTTCTTAGTCCTGCGAGAACTCCTACCTTTTCCTTTCTTCGTTGGTAATCCACTTGCCAGCAACGAAATCGAAGTAATTGTTTTCATATATATTTTTAGTGTTTGCTTGTTAGCTTTGCCTCATTAATTAAATAAGCAAATAAAGTACTGAATATTTAATATATATTCACGACAAAAATTAAGACATTTTGATAAATATATATATTTACACCTAAAGTCTTTAGTACTTGTCGAAAATTTCATTCAAAATTCATCATGGGAAATGAAAATTTAAGTTCCAAAAAATTATTAAGCAAAAGCCTTGTACTTGTTGCATTAAATATTTGTTAGCGAAATGTTAAAAAAATTTACTAAAAATGAAAGATATGGTTATAAAAAAGTTTCATATTTAGAGACTAGCTGACAAAGCCCTAGCAGTATTTAGTATCAAGGGCCGTGGATATATGTTTTTGAATCACCTCATTAGCACCTAGTATACATAGTACAATATACTGAAATTCATCAAAGTGTTGGGGCTAAGTGAGTCGTTGTGACTTAGGGGACGGCACAATAGACCTTAGGTCGCGGTGCATACCTCATTTCTTTCTCATATCTGTCTTTATAACCATCTAGTTTGCTCTGAGTTGGTTGTTCGCCGCTTCTGTCATTTGTTCCTCAAATACCTCGCCACTTGACTTTTCGTGAATAATTCGTCACAATTCGTATTCTCAAGATTATCTAAAATTTAATTAACAGAGGTTCAACCAAGAATGAAAAATCAACAAAGTAGCACAAAATAAAGTTAGGAGAGTGTGTGTGTGGGTCAATGAAGCTTAAGTTAAATACAAGCATTTATAGCAGTTATTTGTATGGGTGGTTGTGCGTGAGGTGAATTTATTTTTCATATATTTATTTCCACTAAAGTGAACTTATTGCTGGAACGAATTAGCTGTGTGGCGCAAATTTTGCGAAAAGACATAGGCCACACTTTATGTTCTACATTCTCTCAACCATCAACCCTCCGGCTCTTTCTTTTAAATTTATCCTCTACTTTTGTCATTTTCTTTTTTAAAATTCTTTTGGTGTGATTTATGTCAAGCCTGGGATTTACTTTTGGTTC